CAGTTTCTTTGAGGGGGTCGGGGAAAATGGACAAACAACATATATGAAGCCCGTCCCCCCCAACCCGAAATTTTGGGTCTTCTGGTTGGGTTGGGGTTACCTGGTAGGTCGTCAGATGAAAGCATGGGCGTTCTCCTGTCATTGTACGCACACCCTCCATTGCGGCGTGTCGTTCTCTCCCTTCCTGCTTCATCCCTACTGGATTGCAGTTGTGTGTGTGTGTGTTTTTCTGCAGGAGCTAAATGGCTGTTGGGGCTGCAGGGGAGTTCCTCCTCCTCCTCCTCCTCCTGCCCTCGTCCTCCTTGCCTTCGCTCCTTCCTCGTGCGGCTGCGATGGTCGTGGGCAGCTGCGTGGCGGCGGACGTGGGCCACGGCATCTTCGAGCAACTCACTCGTATGTGGGGTGTTTTTCACCTGCCGCCCCCTCTCCCTGCCTCTCCTGCTGTCCTGCTCTCTCAGCTCCCCCCTCCCTTCTCCCTCCTCCTTGCCCCTCCCTCCCTGCATCCACCCTCCCCCATCCCCGGGGAAACCGGAAGCTGCCGATAGCTCCCCAGACCTCGCCTGGGGTGCGTCCTGACCAGGATCTCGAGGCGAATCCAGCGGTGGCGACGAGGGCCTCCGAGGAGGCCCAAGAAGGGGACAACGGGCGAAGGGTACCGGCAGGGGCACCTTTGTGTTTTTTATTATGGAAAACTAGGTAACGATACTGGAGGATAGGGAGGAGGATAGGAAGGGAGGAGGAAGATAGTGGCAAGAGAGGAGGGGAGGACAGGGCGAGGGCGAGAGGCGAGGACGCCAGAGGAAGGGTGGCGTGAGGAGGCGGGGAGGAGGGACCAGAGAGGAGGGGGGGTGAGGGGAGACGGGGGGGGTCAGATAAGGAAAAGGTGCCCCTGCCGCTACGCTTCGCCCGTTGTCCCCTTCTTGGGCCTCCTCGGAGGCCCTCGTCGCCGCCGCTGGATTCGCCTCGAGATCCTGGTCAGGACGCACCCCGGGCGAGGTCCGGAGAGCAGCGCGGCATCGGTACATTTGGTTTCTCCAGCTCTGCTGCGGCTCTCCGGCCGTCGGTGAGCTTGGATGGGCTTGTTTTCCACCACCACCACCACCATAAGCTGGAGGGAGAGGGGGTCCTCCTCCTCCTGCTCCTCCTCCTCCTCCTCCTTCTCCTCCTCCTCCTCCTCCTCCTCCTCCTCTTCGTCCTCCTCCTCCTCCTCCACCTCCTTCCCCCCTCCAACTTATGGTGGTCGTGGTGGTGGAAAACAGGCCCATCAAGCTTCTTCCGCCGCGGGGGCGGCGCAGATAGCCAGGCTCGTCCGGCGCGGACAGTCGCGCGTGGGCTGCCCGCGCAGGGGGTCGCGTGTGAGCGCCCTCGCCGCCAGTGTGGCGTGGCGCGCGGGCGGTCCGCGCGATCCACCGCGCAGGATCGCCATATGCCAGCGCGCGCCTCCTCCTCCTCCTCTTCCTCCTCCTCCTCCTCTTCCTCCTCCTCCTCCTTCTCCTCCTCCTCGTCCTCCTCCTCCTCCTCCTCCGCGCGTCTTCTCGTCGCTCGCGTGCTGTTTTCGGGGGTGGGCAGGGGCGCCACGCGCTTCGAGTTTCCTCGAAAGAAGGAGCGAGCTCCCTTGCCGCGCCCGTGTGTGGCGGGTGTTCGGGAAGCCCTTCGATGTAGCCGGTCTTCGTCTCAGCCTCCCTCCTCCGTTTTCCTCGTCCCGCCCCCCCTCCTCGCTCATCCAGTCTTATTGCTCCTCCTCGTCCACCTCATCATTGCTCTCCCCGTGCATCTCCGCCTTCCTCCTCTTCCTTCCCCCGCCTCCATCTTCACCTACAACTCCTCGTTCCTCCTTCCTCCTCACTCCCCCCCCACCAGGAGCTGCCAGAAACCTTTTAAGAACACGTCTAAACATCATAGCAGTACGCACACACACATATCAGCCAGCGTGGACCCCAACCAGTAAATTATGGCACTGTGGATGTATGCGCTATATGGTGCAACCATGTTGCGTCAGCTATGCGTTGCAAGCTATGTGGTGCAAGCTACGTGGTGCAGCATGCATGATGCAATTTGTGTAATGCAGTATACGTGGTGCATGCTGTGTGGTGTAAGCTATGTCATGCAAGGCATGTGGTGCAATCTACCTGGTGCAAGCTATGTGGTGCAAGCTATGTGGTGTAAGCTATGTGGTGCAGGCTATGTGGTGCAATCTACGTGGTGCGAGCTAGATGGTGGAAGCTGTGTGGTGCAATCTACGTAGTGCAAGCTATAGTTCCAGGCTGTGTGTTGTAAGCTACAATGTGCAAGCTAGGTGGTGCAAGCTATGCGGTGCAAGCTATGTGGAGTAAGCTAGGTGATGCAATTCATCTTTGTCAACTCAGGGGTTGTCAATTCCACTGTTCGCGCAATTATCCCACCCTCCCACCCGCAACTTGTTTTGCAATACCCATGCGGCCGCGATTGCGGTGACCGCTTGGCCCTGGCTGGCGCATCTCGGCGGCCGCGCTGGCGCGCGCAAGATCGCGCGCAGAGCGGCCAGCTGGTTTGGCACAGCTGATGCGGCCGCGGTGGCGCTTGCCGAGCGCAACTCCCCCAGCGCGTCTCAGAAGCCTCGCTGGCGCGCGGGCTTATTTCGGTGCGGGTCGGTGAGTCGGACCGGCGCGATATCATGATACTGTCGACAACGGCGACAACGACGATGATCGTAGCGATGGTGGTGGCGTTGGTGACGACGATGGCGGCGACGAGGCAACTGACGGCGTTGTTGGTGACGGCGATGATAATGGTGATGCCCATGTGATGGTGATACAGGTGATTGGCTGATGATGGCGGCAACGTGGTGGTTTGCCGATAACGATAACTGCGGTGATGCGATGGCGCTCATGCAGGTGATGGTAAAGGAAGTGCGCGCATAAATTCAAGCATGCAGGTTCCTTTTTTGTGTAAATGTGTGTTCCATCTGGTCTTGAAGAATTGTACTTGGCCGTGCTCCGGGAATCCTTGGTGCTGGAAGGACGTCGGCGCGCGCACGCGCGTGTGGCCCGCATGGTGTCATTTGGTAAGGAGCCCCGCGCAGGGCGCATGCTTGGCCAACGCACATGCGACGCGTGGTGAGATGAGAGTGCGGGTTCTGGATAAACCTTCTGAAGTTCAGCCACGCGCAGAGGGGGGTGGTGGGGGTAGGGGGGAGGGCTTCTTGAAAGCACCCCTGCTTCTTAGAGGGCGCGGGCCCTATCTATAGACGTGAGGCCAGCGCCTTCTAAGAAGCAGCCTCCTTCTAAGAAGCCCTCCCCGCTCCCTCCACCCCCCTGTGCGCGCCTCCAAGAAGTCCCACGAGTCCCACGTGCTTTTAGCAAACGCGCGCGCGTACGCACCCTGCAGGATCTGTGCGGATGTCTCTGTATAGTGAAGCGATTGCAGCACCCATGGTATGCCCGGTCTGACTTTCACACGTGCGCGCGTGTGGACGTCGTGTGTAGGTTTATGTTGCAAGGGTTTCATGGCACGCTGTCTTCTGAGGCGAGCGAGCGTGCGCATGGTTCTCTCTGACAGGGGGTGCAAAGGCGGGGCTCGATGCCGATTGGGCTGGGTTGGTAGCGTTCAGGTGGACAGCGATCGACGAGACAGAGCCGTGCGCAGGTGGCAGTGTCCCCAGGCGATCCATCAGGTCCGGGCTCAGGGGGCGGGTGCGTTTCTCTCTTCGAGGAGACCCTACGTTTATGTCGGGCGTGTCCCCCTACAGGGGGATTTTCGACGAAAAAAATCAATACCCCAAACACCAAAAATACCCCCCAAAAGGTCAAGAAATGCTCCAAAAATAGTCCCCGGACTATTTTTGGACTATGTTTTCATTATTTTTTGGGGTCTTTTTGATTTCTCGTCGAAAATCCCCCCTGTAGTGGGACAGGCCCGACCCAAATCTGCCTGGCGTGGGGCCACCGGGGCGCCCACGGGGCTCCCGCGGGCGGGCGCCGGCCGGCGCCTCGGCGCACGCCTCGAGCGCGGGGCGCCCGCAGGCGGCCACCCGGACGAGGCCTCGGCAGCTCCCTCCCCTCCCTCCCGCTCCTCCTCCTCCTCCTCCTCCTCCTCTTTCCTCCTCGCTCCTCCCAATCCTCGTCCTCGTCCTTCTCGCCTCATCCTGCTCCTGCTCTTCCTCCTCCCAGTCCTCCCATGTGCACAACGCCGTTTGCACCAACAGGTGGTCGCCAGCAAGGGGTGAGTGAAGGGGCCCTGGGACACACAAATAAATACACACAAATAACAGGACTCCCCATATTTTTCCATAGTTTCTGGGTGTTTGTCTTCCCCCCCACTTCCCATATTTTCCCATATTTTCCGGGGAGTCGACGATTAATTGTGCCTGTGTGGGTTTTTTCCCTCCTGAGCACAAGTTTTCATCTTTCGCGGCCGCGAGTTGGGCATGTGCCCTTTGCTGGTTTCGACACGGCCTCACTCAGGAGGGAAAGAAACACACAGACACAATTCATCGTCGACTCCCAGGAAAATATGGGAAGTGGGGGGGAAGACGAAAACTCAGAAAATATGGGAAAATGTGGGGAATCCTGTTATTTGTGTGTATTTATTTGTGTGTCCCAGGGCCCCTTCACTCACCCCTTGCTGGCGACCACCTGTTGGTGCAAGCGGCGTTTTGCACATGGGAGGACTGGGAGGAGGAAGAGCAGGAGCAGGATGAGGCGAGAAGGACGAGGACGAGGATTGGGAGGAGCGAGGAGGAAAGAGGAGGAGGAGGAGGAGGAGGAGGAGCGGGAGGAGGAGGAGGAGGAGGAGGAGAGGAGGAGGGGAGGAGGAGGAGGAGGAGGAGGAGGAGGAGCAGCAGGAGCGGGAGGGGGGGAGGGAGGGAGGGAGAAGGAGGGGAGCGAGGAAGACGAGCGACGACGAGCCCCGCCGTCGATGCCCCGCACTCGCGATGCTCGGGGCTGGCTGCCGCGCGGCGCTGGCAGACCCGTCGCGGTGGGACCCGCCCGCAACGGAGGAGGTGTCCCCCCCCCCGCGAGGACGCGGTGAGCTTGTACGAGCTGCTGCAGGCGCTGCGGCTGGTGTGCCCGGGGCCCAGCAGCCCACGCGGGGCGGAGAGGCGAAAGCACCACGAGCGCGAGCACCGGCTTTCTCCGGGCCCGCTCGTGGGAACACGGAAAGGCGGCGCCAACCCCACCAGGGCAAGGAGATGCGAGGAGGAAAGAGGAGGAGGAGGAGGAGGAGGAGGAGGAGGAGGAGGAGGAGGAGGAGGAGGAGGAGGAGGAGGAGGAGGAGGAGGAGGTGGAGGAGGAGGAGGAGGAGGAGGAGGAGGGAGGAGGAGGAGGAGGAGGAGGAGGAGGAGGAGGAGGAGGAGGAGGAGGAGGAGAGGAGGAGAGGAGGGAGGAGGAGGTGGAGGAGGAGGAGGAGGAGGAGGAGGAGGAGGAGGAGGAGGAGCAGGAGCAGGAGCAGGAGCAGGAGCGGGAGGGAGGGAGGGAGGTCCACGCCCCGTTCCCCAGGCGCCACCGCCCCGAGCCCTGCCCGGCCTCCCGCTCCGCGGAGCGGGGCGCTGCCTGCCCGAAAGGGCGCGGCGTGTCGAAGGGGGCCGCCGCCGCGGCGCGCGGAGCCAAAGTTCCCCGCCGCAGGTGTGCGAGGAGGAGGAGGAGGAGGAGGAGGAGGAGGAGGAGGAGGAGGAGGAGGAGGAGAAAGAGGAGGAGGGAGGTGGAGGAGGGGGAGGGGGGGGGGGGGAGGAGGAGTGGGAGGAGGAGGAAGGAAAGGAGGAGGAGGAGGTGAGGAGGAGGTGAGGAGGAGGAGGTGGCAGGAGGAGGAGCAGGAGGTGCGCGCAGGTGGTGGTCGACTTCCGCAGAGGGCGGCGGCGCGTAACGAAGGGGCAGCTTTTTCGGACCTATGGGGGCACTTGCGAAATCCCCACCCCCTCGATACCCTCGATTT